AATTATTTACAAGTGTAAACAAGTCGTTTGCACATTTTTTCGACCCATATAAGTAACTTTCAAACCTCGGAGCGCCGCTGGTATGTATTGTGTTTAGAATTCAGTCTTATCCTATTGAAAATGTAGAAACGTTTTGATTGTGATTTTCCTTTTCGATTTCTTATCTTTTCTCTCTAATTGAAATTCTAGTTGTATCGTTATGACTTCAGCCAATCTTTAGCTAGAAATCAATTGAATTTGTAATGCATAAGGTTTAGATTGGGCTCTCATTTTATTTTTATTGAATCGTTATTTTTATGTTCGTTTCTTTTACTTCTTAGCTCTCAAATCCACTCAGCGACATTCATATAATAATCTTCTGAAAAAATTTGCTGCTTGTGGCCAATTTGAATGCAATTTGCTCGCTTGTTTTGAGAATTAAAGTAAGCTAAGAAACGTCAATATCTTTCTTTCCCATACTCATCGTTTTAGCCTCATCGTTCCCACTCCGTTTCCATGTGATATCTCTGGAAATTCTTTCCACAAGCGCTCGAAGGTTGATATGCGTATATCTACCACTTTAGATGTACTCTAAATATCCATCTCGTCAGACATGCATGGATAGTTTGATGTATTGTCGACCATCACACGGACCCATCATCACCTATGAAGTCGTTGAACCCCGGCATGACGACCTCGTGCGGGTCCCAAGTGCTGCTCACCCTCGGAACCCTTCCCCAATGCTCGACGAAAGCCGTCGAAGCAGTGACACCACAGGAAATGTTGAAAACGAACTCACAACGACGGGCACGACGAATTCGGCCGCGCAAAGCAGCTGCGCGACAACTCGTCCTAGAGGACGAAGAGATGCTCAAGATACCTAGCCCTGATATGTTGAATAATATGATGCGAGGTGTTAAACTGAATGGTGAGTTGTGATTGCTCGATTTTATGCTAGAAAAAAACGGATGTCTAGTGAGATTCTAAATTCATTTTGTTTAAAAATTTCCAAATAGCTCTCTATAAAATATCAACCTCAGGCGTGTGCTCCTCCATTCCATGAGTCTTCGATTGCATTTTTCAAAAGTTACAATAATCCAATTTCTTTGGATAAATTCTTCAAAACTAACATATTAGTTTTGAAGTTTCTTTTATTTATCGCTGGTAAGAAAATCTGCTTTCTTGGGCAAAAGAACAGAAACTGTTTCTCTTTGGGCATTGCTATGAAGGATTCCTGGTCCTTCTTCTCCAAGTCGGCAAAAAAGTTAACATCTTAAATGAGTGTTAGACATTTTTGCTGGTATTTTTCATGAAAAAACGCAGCGCGAGATT